TTCTGTCCCTGGTAGCTATCGTTAGGTCAAGTAAGAGACCCTAGGGCGAGCAAAAAACTATAGCACTAGGCGGGCAACACAAAAAAAGAACAACTCCGTTTTACGCGACTTTCGCAGTGCCACCTTCCACGTGAATGCGGAGGACGGAGACGCACTGTGTGCGCACAGTGCCGTCCCTTCGAGTCTCTGTAATAAGTTGTTACTTGATATCATCTTGGTATACACGAGAATGTTCAAGCGAGTTTTATGTGTTTGAACAATGGTAATTTATTTTGTTAATTTGATGTGTTTTAGGAAACAGTTACTACTTATTGGAATGTAATTACCTAATGAGGACATTTAAATCATTTCAAATGTGGTCTGATGGCAGAAACAACATTTACTATACTTAAACAAATTGTTACAATGTTGTTATTTAATATATAAAGAACGTTAACTAATGCGCACTTATTGTATCATAAAAAAACAACTTCTGCCGGCAGTATAAGTCTTTTGTAAGTAATTTATTCAATATTTTTCCTATAAGTAATTCATTGCTATTTTTTGTATAATTTATCTATCTGGACTCGACATTTAAGGGATTACGTCATATCGATAACCTATTTCCTGCTTTGTTACTATAATTACATCAGACTCATTGTCAAATCTCAGGTTGTTTTAATATTTGTTATTATATTATAAACAAATCTGGGGAAAGACATGCACAATTCACGTTGGTCGAATCATTAACATTGTCATCGTCAACTTATTATGTTCCACTCCTAGTCACGGGTCTCCACATGTTGTCCGAGTCCAGTGTCCGCTGTTCTTGTAGCTACATACGTCACGTCTGATCGGTGCTACGGTCATTTGTTTTACGCGTCCAATCCACGAGCCGCGTATTTTTTAACCGACTTAAATAAAAAGGAGTATGGATGGAAAAAGGAGGAACACGTGTGTTTTATAAATGTTCACCGATTTCTCCGTCAATTGAAAATTATTTTTTGTTTGAAACGGTATACTTACTCTCGAGAGGGTTCCATTGTCACCAAATCAAAATCTGATGAGGGGATCCCAAAGAAATTGAGCGAAATCCTCAAAAAAAATTATATGCATATACAGTGTGTTTGCCAGCCAAGGAAAGAAAAACAATGTACCTTAATGGATTCTAATGCTATACAGTAAGTTTGTAAACTTGCCTTGACACTTACGTCAAAAATAACTGATTAGATATTGTAAATACTTAAGAATCAATATTTTTTTAGTGGTAAAATAAAACTTTAAACCGACCGGTAGGTAGCACATACCAATAATAATATTTTATTAAGATAATAAATAGGTAATAGGTTTGACCAAAAACAATAGTTACGTTGTAATTGTATAAATAAACCATAAATGTAGACTGATTGAGTAATAAATAATTAATAATATTGTGAACAAAACGAAATAAGACAAAAATAAATAAAAAGTATTCATTTATTGTTGTCATTAAATCCGTATTTTGTTATTTTTCGCTTTTTAGTGTAATGATTTTTTGTGATTTTTTTAAGTTGGTTGAATTTTTTTAAGTTTGTTTTATATTTGTGAGATAGCAATACAATGTTTTGCTCTTGCAAATAATGTAGGCTCTTTGATTGATTGATTGTGTATTATGCACTCTGAAAGTATACTATGGAGCGATTTAGATTTGTGTGTAGCGACATTTGCCAAGTACATTGAGAGCCTTCAGCTCGCCCTTTCCGGTTGCATCCGGTGGTGCAGTCAAGGCCATCAGCGCCCAACTGCACAGTGTCCTTCAGAAAAGAAATAAATGCATTTCAGCTCTAATTGCAAACCTCAAAATCGGCTTTTCATATAAGAGTGTCGGCAGTTACCCAGCGCATAAAATGGCGACCGGATGCTTCTAAGTTCTTTTCACTGTTAGCGAGAAGTATTACTAACAAACATTCACAAAATATATACGTAATTTAGGAAACATTTGTATTGTGTGTAGGTACTGTGTAATTGTTGTAATATTATTCGTGTAAATATTTATTTTATCTTATGTTTAAGTATTCTGATATCAGTGTTCCATAGCATGTCACGTCACGTGTCGATCGAAATGACTATTTGTAAATTATGACTAATCATAGATTAGTAATCCAGAAAGAAACACGTGACACAATTTGTACAAGTTTAACTGCTCGTCACATTCCTCCCTATCCCGCTTTTGAGTATCGAAACTATTTAGACTTTAAAGACAAATTTTCCAAGACAACGTATTTTTAGTTTAGCAGTGCACGTCTTCAATTGTAGCTCGTGTTAATCTCTACAATAAGTAAGTAATTTACTTGAACTGCTCAAATAAAATACATGTACCCACTAATTTTCGCCCAACGATTACGACAACACTATTATTGTGCTGCTTACTTCAGTAATCTACGCGGTTTTTTTCACAACGCCAGTCTAACTGGAAACCAAAAGTTAACTTCTTTTCAGTCTTACGACGATTGCCGGGTGGTCTAGGAGTTGATGTCGACATGTTGTGATGATGTCTGCTTTGTTTCTTAAATGAACATCTTGTATACTTAAGGATATGTTATTCAACGAGATCATTTTTATATCTCTATAGAGATAATCATAATAATAATAACATTTTTTTTATTTCTCAGACTCCAATAAGTCCAGGTTCATTAGTAACGATCATCATCAACCCATTTATAGGTCTCACTGCTGGGTACGGGTGTCCTCTCTGGCGTTTCCGAGGATGTTTTGCTTCACTAAAAGCTGCTGGTAAATATCAAATTTAATGTCGCACACAAATTTGTTGGATTTCATACATATATACTTGCATGATACTCGCATGCTCGTTCACACACAAAGTAATTTATAATATAAATACTACTTACCTTTTCCCGGGTCGCATCAGCTGTTCACGTAGTATATTGGAACCCATATAACTGTGTACTCCTTCTAAACTCACCACAAAGTCCACACGAAGCTTTTGTGCTGAGAACAGTTAAACCGTGCGTGTTCTGGTTTTAATTATCTAAACCCTATCAACCAGCTATCGCTAGTACTGACCATAGATTTTACAATATTACTTGATATTGAATTTAGTGTTTTGTTCGCATGGCTCTTGTCAACTTGTCTCAGAGTAATAGGCGCAGTGGTAGTATCCCACAAATCTTTCCGATTTGAAGCTCTGAGTGGCGCTGCAACTGCTATAGACAGGCGTGTCGCTTAACACCAGGCGCACGACGCGTCCCGACACTTGGTACCAAAAAAGAAAAGAAAGGAAAACATCGATTTTCTAAAATAGTTTTTGATCTAACCAGCGCCAACGCCTGATGCAATGAATGGTGCAAATATTTTATGCCTCGTTTTTGCTTTAGTAGAATATTACGCACCTAGCGATGCGGCAATGCAGGACAGATTAGTGTGTCGCTAATTTGTGGTAATGTGTCGTTAAAATTTACTATTTACAAAACACTTAACGCATCACTATGTCGTTGTTGACATAGATAAGAAGATTTACATTTACCGCTCAAACATATTCAACTGCCTCCGTGGCCGAACGGTTACCATGCCGGACTGCCACGCAGAGGTCCCAGGTTCGTTTGACGGGCCGGGAGAAACATTTGTATAGCCTACAATTATTTTTCTCGTGAGTTTGGGTAATTGTAGTTGTATGTGGTGTGGTGTAATTTGCGGTTGTCTATGTGTGTGTCGATGGCACCCGCGACCTAGGGTTTTCTAGTGCGGGGCTAAGTTGAGTGTGTGCGTTATTATTACTATTATTACTACAATTTTAGAGTTATTATTATATTATATTTGCATTTTTATTATACGTACAGTTATATACTAACACATTCGATGGGCTTACACTTAACTAAAAGATTGTCACATAATTTGCAACAGCGTTAGTAGGATTGACTTTTCAAGTAACAAAACTCCCTGCACCTCCAAGACAGCCCTAACTACTTACGCAAAATTATAGACTTATCGTTTTTCCTGTATAACGTGTTTGTTAATATCGTTAATATTATTGAGGATAATGTGCTACTCTCAAACTTGCACGGGGATTTTCTCACGGTCTGTTTCCACACGTCAACCGAGTACGAGGCAACAATGTAAACAAAGAAGGTTGCGTACTCAACTTATGAGAACACAAAAAAGTAAAATACGATAAATTAAGAATTGTTTGGAAAGAAAATTGCTTTTTAACAAATACGTAGAAATCAAACAGAACCATAATTAACGCGGCTATGCCGTACACAAAAATCACTGTCGTGAACCTACGTGTTGCCGTTGATGTCTTCTATATGATCAAAAGCCAGTGATTAATGACAGCACAGGACAAATCAAAAAGTTACGTCACTTGTTCCATTTTATACGTTAGAAGTCACGGAAATAGTTAGAATCAAGAAATGAATTTAAATGTGTTTATTTAGAAATTTCATAGAATCGGTTATATTTTTGTTTTAGTTCCTGTTAGCAGCATTCAGTGGGACATCTGCGATGCGATTTTTATTTTAAAGTCCGAACCTGGAATTTTGCAATTTTAATCGAGTTTGGAAATCATATAATTTTGTTGAATGTGCATTCAACTTTTACATTAAACGCAAAATTTTAATATTACATTATTATCATTTTTATACATTTTTTAACACATGTATTCAATTTTCATTGAACGTAGCATTTAGAAAAAGCAGCAATATTACATAAATAATGGTGTAAGTTCATCTTAAAATCGCATTTTTTTCATAATTCTTAATTGTTGAACTTTGAAGTGTAAAAATCGAAGCGTTTGCTATAAGGTTTCTTTAAAAATGTACGGAATGTAAGCACTTGAAATTTTTCATAGTGTTTGGAAAATTAAAACACGTGACTAAAGCGTAGCTCTCTGGATATGCCATGTCTGAAAGGATTTTGGAACACCGTGCTGCGTTGAAAAGCCACTTGCATAATATCGCAAGCGAGTGATATTGTATGCAAGCTGTGTCGTGTCGGAAGCGGCAAAGCACCCGGCTCGAGTGGTATGGGCCCGCACCGGGACAGCACCGCCATGCGCCAGCCGGCAACGGCAGTTCACCCACGACCGCGCCGCTGCGAACACCTTCAAATTTTGCACTGCACTCCTCGGGATTCGTAAAAACCGTGAGTACTACCTAAATATATTTAGTAGTTAAAAGCATTCGGGGCGATGTCTCAAGTGTCGAGGCCCCACGCGTGTTGTTTTTTAAATATTTGCGATTTTTTGTCCTCACTTGAATATCTGGGCGTCATCTTCAGAATACCGGCTGTTGTGATATTATCTATTAGGATAATATAGTGTAACGTGTAGGCTTTCAATTATCTAAAATTAAATTATTGTTTAAAGGACGGAATTGTGTGCACTTTCTACCCTCATCCTATTTCGTTGAATAATTCTCTGCTGTCTCTTAAATGATCTCGCATTTTTAAATATATGTTTATGTATAATTTTGTTTTTGTGGTTAATAACATACATAGTAATAGGTATTTGTTAATTATGTCAAGATCAGTTTCATCGCTTTCAACTTCGACAATATTTTTATTTAATTTCAATCGCAGCCCTTATAATTATAATGGTATACGGATCAGATTCGAATCCAAAACTAATATAGCAAAGCAACGACGCAAAAGCGAAGCAGGTTGTTTACCTGCGCAGCCGCCCTTTAGCGGCGGACACCGCCCCGGTCGGGAGCGCGAGGGGCAAGCGGGGGCAGTTTGCGTCTGGAACTACCTACACAACGAAGCACAGGGTGTGGCTGGTGTAGTGACATCATCCGGATCAAGGTCGGCCTATACTATGGACGTCGTCTACTAACTATGTTGTTCTCGTGGAAAAAGGTCGACTCAATTACGGAAATGATGCTGAATATTGTCTAAACACGCGCAGAAAACTCTTGCGACGATAAATAAAAGTAGCGTGGAGGTGCTCGGCGCTTCTGCGCTTTCTTTGATAATTCGTTTATTAGATAAAACTATATTACTTAATAAAAATATTTTCATATCGTTAGACGATTTATATACTAGGTTTTTAATTTAATCGTGTTCAGCAGAAGCTTGATTATTCTCACGACTGCGCGCCCTGCGTCGACAAAGACTAAAATTAAATATCAATATAACTTAAAGAAACGTGTCTTGGGTACCTATTTAAAAATTTACAATAATATTTGAAAACCGACGAGAATATGTGTAAACCATGCTTATCCTGTCTCGTCGTCCCGATGGAGTATTTGTGTTATCGTATACTTATATAAAGTTGCGATTCGAATGGTGAATACGATTAAGCGTCGTATACGTTTGTAAATGAGTGAATTGTGTTTGTGCGATTTTTTTACGTTCAAATTACAAGTGCGCATATTCCAGTCTCTAAACGCAATGTTGTGAGCATGAAAATACCACCACGTCAAAAATGTTCTGACGGACGAACTCATTACAACCAAATAAATGTACCTATGCAATATATTTTTTTTACTATTAAAATATGTTTTTTAAATGTGTTGTAAACGGATAACCTACAGCAAAACTGGCGCTAACGTAGTGAATTATTCCACTCATGCTTTTGTTTACAAAATTGGTAGTTTTTATCTGTGTACCTACTTTGATGACCCCAGTCATGAACTGTTGGTAAAAAAAAGGTTAAGATTGTCGTGAACATGTTTCGTTGGAAAGATAAAAATCCCGCTGCTAATTGGTATAAGCTGTTAGCCCCCGCATACCTTAACGATGTCGTAACCGATGACATTCGTAATTGTAATTATTTTTTTAATATATTTTTAAGGCGCAAATAGATTTAAATAACAACGAAATGATTTACTATGATAATGGCCGGTAGGCGGGAAGTCAAAGTCAAAGATTATTTATTCCATAGGTAAAATAAATTTACACTTGAAAACGTCACACTTAAGCTACTGCTCGTTAACTACGCTGACCTCTCTGAGAAGAACGAGCAAGAAACTCTAGGGATGGCTCTTTTCAAATAAACTTAAATGCTATGGAATACACTTTGAATCAAATTTGTGTGGATTCTGGAGCCGTGTCGTCTTTCCATACATCTTTATCTAACACGTAGTCTTCAATTTTGTAATATGATTTTTCGATCAACATATTTTTAATGTAGTTTTTAAACTTAGGAAATGATAAACTTAATATATGCCACGGAATCTTATTGTCGAAACGTATATAGTTCCCCATAAAAGAGTTGTTTACCTTGGTTAAACGAAATCGTGGAGTTAGCATTAAACACCTGTAACCGTCACCTAATCTGGTAACCTAAAATAGAATAACTAATAATGATATACAATACACAAATGATAAAAATAAAATAACACAATGCTTAACTAACTTTACTTTCAAACAAAACTTACATTAAAAATAATAATTAAAAAACACCTGCTATTTTATCTGCACTCCGCGAGTGTAATGTATCTTGTCTACTCCACTTATACCTACGATTCTATTGTGCGGGTGATTAGTAAATCGCGATGACCCTCGTTTGTGTAAACTAACTTTCTGCGTAATTGTTTTTGAGTCTATATTTGTTAATGTATTTGTTATTGTTCATGATATGGTTTTGGTTGCTTTTGTTGTTTATTTTAAAGTATTTTGATATTTTTCGCTGTGTAAAAATCTTGATAATTAGGTTACATGTTTGATTTACCCTCACATATTTTATCTTTTTTCTTTATATAAGTATTAGGTAATTATTACTACATATTTTTGTAAATTCGCTTCATAATTCTAAATTATTTAAGGCAGTAATGATTCGGCCGAAAGACCTAGCTACTGCTACCCATAGTACAGGGGATCCTAGTTTGGGAGCTAGGCACAACTATTTACTAGATTTGTATCTTTTGGCAATAAAGTTTTTAAAAGCATATATAGCATATAGTTAGAGTTAGTACCATGAGTTTGGACTTAGCTCTAAGGTTAATATTATGGATATCTTCTTTCTTATTGAAATTATGTACATTTTTACGGGCATATAAAATATTTGAATAAATGTACTGTGATGCCACAGTCATGATAACAGTGTCCTTAAACTTTTCTTTGAGAGAAACCCGAGAGCCTAGACGGTACACAGAACGAATCGCTCGTTTTTGCAATACAAATATGGTTTGTATATCTGCCGCTTTACCCCACATGAGAACCCCGTAGGAATATTATACTATGGAAGTAACTAAAGTAAACTAGTCTAGCAGTACTAACATCGGTAAGCTCACGTATTCACGTATGCAGCGGAACTTAATCTGCTGGCCGCTGAAGCTTACTATCTAAGGTCACTCCCAAGAAGACTGCTTTATTAACAAGGTCTAACTTTTCTCCGTTTATTTCTATGCTTGGACTAGTCGATTTTACGTTAGGTAATTCAAATTTAACACATTTTGTCTTCTTGGCATTAAGCAATAAATTGTTAGCATTAAACCAATAAGCTACCTTAGAGAGGGTATCATTAATATGGTCATAGTTAATGTCATTTCTGTCTGTTTTAAAAATCAAGGATGTGTCATCAGCAAACAACACTATTTCGCAATGGTCCTTAACAAAGAAATATAAATTAGAAATAAGAAAGGCCTAAATGTTGAGCTAAATGCGGAACACCCATTTTTACCGGAGAACCCAAAGAAGCACACCATTTATGTCTACTTTCTGAATTCTACCTTTGAGATGTGACGAGATAAGTTTCGACGCCTTGCCATTTACACCGTAATGCTCCAGCTTCCTAATAAGAGTAATATGATCAACGCAATCAAATGCCTTTGAGAAGTCACAGAAAACACCAATAGCGTTCTGGCACCTTACCCAAGCATACAAGATGTCTGCCACAAACATTAACATTTTCCTTTAGGAGATCAATGGCAAGAGAAGGGGAGGAATTTAATGATTCTGTAGTGTTCACAGCAATTTCGGAAAAGAACGATTCAAAAGCTTGGGCTACCTTGTCTTTAGATTTTATAAGTTTGCTGTCTAATTCTAAAACTATATCTCTACTGTGTTGTTTAACCCTGCCTGACTCTTTATTTATTATGCTTCAAAGAAGTTTTAGATTTATTTATCGATTGTCTACTTTTGTCGCTGTGAAACTTAACCTTAACAGCTACATATACTTCTTTAAATATTTTTGAACAATTTCTAACATATTCTATGAAATTGGGATTAGTATTATAAGTTTTCATAGCATATAGCTCATACAAACGAGACCTACTCTTATGAATACCTACTTTTGCCCAGTCGTTGAATTTAGTCTCTCTATGGAAAGTTAATGTTTTCGATTTAAATACATTATCAAATTCATTTTTAATTAAACCAAATATCATGCTATATAAAGTATTTGGAACCTCTGGTGTATGAGGTAGGGAATTTAAACTATTGCCGATATTATTTTGAAATCTAATGATTTGTTCTGTGGTAATCGGTCTGCAGAGAAATTGGTCTACCTTCTTATTTTACAATTAAAAGAAACCAATTGGCCACTATGGTCTGATCTGAAGCAATTTATTATTGGTTTAGACATTGCGTCTGTGTTACAAAAGATGTTATCAATACATGTAGAAGAGGAGGCAGTGGTGTGAGTTGGTTTTAAGAAAAGATTAGTCTAGTTACAACTTTTAAATAAATTAAGGAGTCTTGCAGAAGTAGAACAGTTTTCCAACAGGTTTACATTGAAATCTCCACATATTACTACGTTATTTTTGGTTGGAAAAATACGCTTTAAACTATCTTCCATAATTAATTCAAACTCGTTAAAATTAGCAGAGGGGGGCCTGTATACACATAAGACGACAAACTGATTTCCACACATGAAATCTCAATAGTTCGTTCAGTAGAAAGATTTGTGACATCCTTACGCTCTTCAAATTTTAAGTTACGTTTAATAATAATCATGGATCCGCCTCTACTTAAGCTCTTTCTTATGAACGAACTGACTATTAATAATTTTCTACGTTGTTAATTGCTTCGTAGTCTTACAGCCAGTGTTCTGTAACACAAAACACGTCAACGGAAATATCGTGCAAAAAAAAGACTTACTTCTAATATTTTGCCAGAAAAGCCTTGAATATTTTGATGTACTACATGGAAACGATTAGACTTTTCTGTTGTCGTGTTTTTCAGTTTAAATTATGGTTAGT